GGGGGACAAGCCAAGACAAGACCCCGGTGGTGATTCGCAAGGCGATGGCCAAACACAACCTGGACGGGGACCGGCCGGAAGACTACGAGCTTGTTCAGATCATCTCAGAGGAAAGAGGTACAGGGGACTGTAACATGAGAGGCTGGGGTGTTGGGGATCTGCCAGCTCCCTGTCTGGCATAAATACGATAGGAAGGCTACTGTAGTGCTGAGCCTGGAGAATGAGTTGTCACCCCAGCCCACCGCACCTCACTGCTGGGCAGAGCACGTCCCTGGTCTCCTGTGGACCAGGGAACCTTGCATAGTTGCAGGAGCCCCAAGTCAGCCAGGAAGCACAGCCTACGCTCCTGTCTTCATGGGGCCTTGCTGCTCCCCCAGGCTCCCCATCATCCCAGCAGGTCCAGCATTGCCCCACTTAGCTCCCTGCCTACACGTCCCTTCCCCTTACGAAGGTAGCTTCAGCCCAGCCAAGCACCGGGGTGACTGACCCAACCTCTGTCCGTGTGTCCTCCCAGAGCTGAAAATCCCTGACAACGCCAACGTTTTCTACGCCATGAACTCTGCTGCCAACTATGACTTTGTGCTCAAGAAGAGGGGCTTCTCCAAGGGGGTGAAGATCAAGCATGGCTCCAGCTCCACCCTGCCCCGGATGAAGCAGAAGGGCCTGAAGATCGCCAAAGGCATCTTCTAGTCTCACCCTCGCTGCACCCCTCACCAACTGGGCCTTGAGGGCAGGTTACTCTGGGCCTGGCTGCCAGCCTGGTGGGGGTGAGGGCAGCGTGCAGGTGGACTGACAGCGCACACGGTGCTCGGAGGGGGGCAGTGTCAGCCAGTGTCCCATTTCCATCAGGGCTTTTCTACACGGAGGGGGGCTGGCGTCTCTTCTTCCACCGTGTGCCACCACCACAGCCATCCAGCTGCCCAGCGCCAGACCCCGCCTCTCTGCCGTAGGTGCCTTCTGTCTGAAAGAGTGAAGGACTGGCGACTTGTCAGCACATCTGTCCGCCTGGGATACACGGGGAGCGAGGGGCGCGCCAGCTGTCGCTGGGGAGTCGGCAGGAACTTCCCTGGGAGCAACAGGGCTGGGTGCATCACTGCCCGTGCTCTGCCATCACCCAGGGCTGCTTTACCTCCAGGTCCCACTTTTCTCTCCTGGGACGTTGTGCCACCTGCCTGCCCCTGCAGCCGCACGTGGCTGCCCTGAAGGGGGAGTTAAATTGGGAAGGATGAAGCCACTCAGCACCACACTTGGTTGTGGAGGAGCGTTCTCTGGATGCGTGAGATGGCTCAGCAGGCACTCGGTGCTCTCTGGGACTTTGCACTGGAAGCCTGGTCGTTCCTCCTTTTACTCCCCCGATCCCATGGTCTGCCAGGCTGGACTCTGACGTCCCAGGCTCCGTCATTTTCAAACCTGCACCAAAGATCAAATGCCAGTGTCTCTTTGGAGGCTAAAACACCCCTCACCAAGCACGGGGAGCCATCAGCGGAACAAGGAGGAGCCATCGTTTTCTCCAATTCCTGTACAGACGTTTGTAAATAGGCTTTTTTTTTATACGACCCGGGTGGGAGCGGAGAGGACCAGAGCAGTTTACAACACAAAACGCCTGCCTCTGTCCGTGCCGCCCGCAGAAAGTGCCACTCGCCTCGGGCTTTAAAGACTTTTTAAAACATGGACAATAGGGGGGTGGGGGGGAGGGACTCACATTTTTGTACAAAAAAACCTGTTTACTGAATTTTTTTGCAATATTTATTGGTTGTAAATAGACCGAACTGACTTGTACATTTTACTAACCTGCCCCCCTGCCTGCTTGTATTTAAAGTGACTGGGAGAGAGCTCTCTGGCAGCTGCCTTGCTTCATTGTGTGCTTGGGGGCAAGAGAGTCTTTCTAAGCCCCCTGGTTCCTTTGGCTAACACAGTCCTGCGTGACCTGGGAGAAGGGCCTCGCTTGTGATCACTGTAAGAAACACTAACCAAAGGGGGCCCCTCTGTTCCCAGACCCGCCAGCAGCCTTTCCTGCTCAAGCACCTGTCCTGGGGCCTTTCCTTCCTCCTCCATCTCTGTTTTGTAACAAAGCTGGTGTCCTGCATCCCTGCAAGGACCCAGGGCCTTATCCTGAAAGTCAGGAGCTTTGCCCCTCTTGGAGCAGGTTCGGTAGGACCCCAAGTAGAAGTTGCCTCCTCGTATGCGTGCTTCCCCCGGGCTGGTGCTTAAGGCACAAGGGAGGAAACGGGGGGAACTGCAGAAGCGGCTTTATTGCAGCAGGACAGTGTCCAGGGCACCTGGCTGCATGCAAGAGGCTGCAGGGGTTAGGTGGCAACCTCTACCCGGGACCCTGAGAGTCAGACCAGGACCTGGGACATCATCTGCCTTGGGCATTTGGCTTCTTAGGAAGGACGTTTGTCCGTGTGCCTAACTGGGACAGCTTAGAAAAGGTAGTGTGTCTCCTATGAGCACTGCTGTGGCTTTCTTTAGCCCCCTGCCTTCCCCTGCACATGAAGGGAGCCATCGCCTCCCTGAAGCAGGGGTTGGAGCCCTTTTCACTCATTTTGCTCTGCTGGAGCCTTCTCTCTCCCCACTCTGCCTTCAGGGACCTGTTAGCCAGCTCAGCATCCGTTTCTGCAACCAAAGCACTTCAGCCAAGCACAGCAGGTCAGCATGCCTCAGACTGGGCTTGCTCTTCCTGTTGCTGAACGACCTGTTGCTCTTCTGCACTGCTAACCCAGCCCTTCCAGCCTCTGCTGGGCCTTCAGCTCTTCCTCTCTTGCCAGTGTGAATCATCTCCTCGAGGTCTATGCTGTGGTCCCGTGTTGTCTGGGAGGAAGAGACCCTTTTCCTCTCAGCAAGGCCTCTCTTTCAGCCAGCACATGCCATGGCCTCCAGGCCTTGGACTATAGCCCTGCTCTGAGCAGCACCGTGGCAAAAAGTGCCTGTAAGGTAAGACAATGGGGGGCATGCAGACTTCAGGGCAAACGGTTCCTGTGAAATGGCTCTTCACCTCGGAGGGCAGGAACAAGTCCCACCCAGTAGGGAGACCAGCAAATGCTCCATTGCTGCCTGTGCTTCTAGCAGCCCACTGCCCCTTCTATGGTAACACTGGCCTACTCTTGGCTTAAGTGCTGCTTCGTGCCTCAATAACTGGCCTGCATCTGAGGTTAAATGCAGGGCAGAGTTGACAGACCAGCCTTCTCTCCCCACCGTCTTTCCAAGGGCCGGCAGACTCTGAAGTGCCCCCCTGTGCGTAGGTGATCAACGTAGCTGACTGTATGATACGGATTTTGTAACAACTCCTGTGAAGGTACACACTGCCCAGTGTGACGTGTACACAGTCATGTAATTAGTCTTTGCAATAAAATACCAATGCTCTGACAACCCTGCCCTTGGGCCCCGTGCCGTTGTCTTCCTTGACTGATGTAGGCCCCCAGCTAAGTCCAAGGGAACAGATATGGAGTAAAGCCCGCAGAGGAGGATGTGCAGGGGCTCCTGTATTGCTGAGGAAGTGAGTGGGCTAACGGGTTGATGAGCAGCAGGTAGGAGGGCTATAAGTCAATGCTGTTGAATCTAGTTTTGCTTTACATTCATGGCACTTCCCCTCCTAATCGGATCCAGTCCTGCTGCTGCTGTCCAGGGGGAGGCCAGCAAATTAACTAGGAGGCTGATGACCTACCTCTCCAGTGAATTACCGCTGTATTAATAATGCACGGTTCGGCCGCAGTCATCACTGAGAGCAAGCAAAAGCATAGTGGATTGTAGCATCCCTTCCTACTCTATCTCAACCGTGCAGCCAGGGCGCTGGTGACTTAGGTCATATTCCCATTGTTTTACTAGTCCAGAGTGCTCCAGTAATTAAGAGCAAGCGGTAGTAGCACATCAGCTACCTTTCAGGCTGTGTTTATGGTAGGCAGAGGTGTGTTAAGGGGTCGTGCTTCTAGCCAGTCTTATTGCAGATGGTGTAGGGCAAGAGCCAGGAATATAGGTGCTTTGCAACCAAGTTCCTCTGTGGGAGAGGCCCTATGTGAAGTCAACCTTGCAAAGAGTCCCTGAGCAAGTTTCTGCCATCAGGGTGATTGAGGCAACTATAGGTACAAACGTGGGGCTGAGAGTGCCTCTGTGGAAGAGGAGTCTGTGTGCACCTTTCAGAGGAGACAGTGTCCAGTACACCGGACTTGGCTGTTATTTGGGAAGTCTTGGTGCACAGGACAGTTAAAAAGAAGCCACAACTCGCTCAGCAGGAGACGAGCATTTAATTATTTCGACTTTACAAACAGGAACACACAGAAAGCCACAGTAAAGTCTAACGGGGTTGTTACTCGTCCAGGAAAGAGGAAGACTCATCAGGCAGGTTCTGGTAGGCTGTTGTCCAGAACTTAACGTAGGGGGCCTTGAGACCCTGTTTCACAGAGTTGTAGCTCATGTCGCTGTTGATTTCCACGTAGTAGCCTTCCTCGGCTGTGTACGGCAGCCAGGCAATGGGCACACTCGATGCCCCTTTGTTAGGGTCTCTGTAAAAACAACAGCTGCAGCTGGAGACGGAGCTAACCTGAGACTCAGCCCAGCTCCCCTAGCAAGCTGCAGCCTGATGTGGGGCTTTCCACACAAGCTCTAAGACCCTGTGAGAGAGCTGGTTCCCATGCTCTGCAAACTTCAGATACTGACTGATGGATGATCTGATATCGCTCTCCAGTAACGAATCCCCTGAACCCAGAACAAAGTGTCCCAACTCCGAACTGGGAACGCTTGTGCAGCCAGGCAGCCTTCTCCTGGGGTCTTCCAAAGCCCACACCCAGCACTGAGGGACCCTTCAGGAGTCTGAGGAAAGCCATGAGGCAACACGCCAACACCTGCATTGAAGGATCCTCTCCCACAGTCTCCAGTGAGCTGCGCCATGGGAAAGCACTACCCACGTGTCTGCCACTGCTGAGGCCAACATCACGGGCCTCGCCAACTGGAAGCAGCAGCTCAGCATTCAGGTAGAAAATGGAATCGCCAAGCAGGCAGCCAAAACAAGCCCAAGCTGAACTGCTCCCCGCACCAGCACAAGGTGCAGCATGGATCCTGCCTTTAGCCCTCAAAGCCTGATTCCCACTGCAGGCAGTGGAGCTTAAAGGACTAAGAAGAGAGGAGCTGATGCTAGGGGGAAACCTCAGCCTCCAGAAGCCCTGTATGCTGAGAACAGACTCCTGTGTCTGCACTTCCCCACAGCCCAGGCTCCCCGACCCAGCTCCCCATCGTTCAAGATCCCAAGGCAATTGGTGGGATGCCTCCAGTACCCCTGATGCTCCGCTCATGGAGACCCAGAGCAGCCTAGGTACAGGCTACAAGACTGAGGCTCCCACAGGTAGGAGCATGGATAGACAGGAGTTGGTGTTACCACTTGTAGCCCAGGCCCCTTACCCTGTTCTGGCAAAGTTGGTCCAATAAGCAATCATGGCCTCCGAGACAGTCCTGTGCCGTGGGAAATAGGCCAGTGGGGTAGTGAACGGTTTCCCAAAGACATACTGAAGGTCATCTGCGTGGTCTGCCCCTACCCAGCTGGGGTAGACGGGCATTCGAGATGGCTGGGAGAACACATAGCTGTAAGTCTTGCCGCTCCTGTGTAAGCAAAAATAGATGCTAAGCAGCTGGGGCTGGAGCGATGGTGATTCACAAAGCCACAGACGCAGACACTCATGTGCACGGTTGGCATTCAGTCGTGCACGATGCTAGGTGTCCAGGGAGGACTCTAAGCCCCAGACCTTCCAAGCAGCTTGCCCTGTCCTCTTAGCATTGTCACCTCATCTTAGGGAAACATAGGAGACAGAGTTCATTTATTTCTCATCATTCACTGCTCAGAGAATAAGAGCAAACAACTTCCCCTCCTGCCTAACTGGCGGGGAACAGTGGCTGACTGGGGGTTTTTAAAGAAAAAGTTCAATTGGGATTTTTTTTAAATCCCCAGCGTCCTGGACTACATCTGCAACTCTTTGTGGGTAAATAAAAAACAAAACCTACCCATGCAGACCCAGTCACTGCGCCATTTCTGGCCCACCCAGCTCCCACCTGAATGCTATATCCTGAGCTTGCCCACAGTGTGCCCAGCATGTGCTACTGCTCGCACAGACTCACTTGGCATTCTGGTAATGCAGATTGAGGGCCCGCTGCGTCGGGATCAGGAAGATGTAGTCGGTCTCCAAGTCCACCACTGTTCTCTTCATGGTCTCCTGATCTGGGTTCTGGCCCCACACCTGGGTGTAGAGGGCATACGTTGTGTTTGCTCCCCTTGCTCCCTTCTCCATGGTCAGCCCTCGAACCAGGTTGTAGAAATCATCCCTGCAAAAAAAAAAAAAAGACCCATGGCACCTCTTAGTTTCCTACTGACTAGAAAGATTGTAATAGGTCCAGTGGTCACAGAGACAGACCCTGGCTCCCTGACACTTGTTAAAGCAGAGGGGGGTGACAGCAGGGACCAGTGAATTGGTACTAGAGACATGAAATAGCTGCCTCCAGTTCAAAGGCAGCCCTGCTCCTAATAACGCCCTTGAGTGTTGTTATCTGATGGACGGAAGAGCCTGGCGATCTCAGTCCAGCTTCTGGAGAGAAGGCATCAGCTCAAAGAAAGTTCATTTTTGTACTTGGTGAAGCAGGTGGGTAGAGTGGTGACATCCCAGCTGACTTCCTGCCTATGGTGGCGGGGCTGGACTCGATCTCACAAGGTCCGTTCCAGCCCCTACTGTCTATGAAATCCAGGTCCTCCTGAACTTGGTTCCTTTGGCCAAACCTTTTCCCCCAATCTCCTCCTGGGAGCAGCTCTGCCATTACCAAGCCCATGCCCCTCACGGCATGAGGGGAAAAACACTTACGTAGGTGCTCCTCTGGCCTGGGTCTCGCTTACACCAAGGTGTTTGGGACTGACCGACAAGGCCTTTCTCTAGCATTGTCTCTCCCCTAGCAAAACCCAAGTCCACCTTGCTTTTTCCACGTGTGCTTAAGGCAGCTGCACTTACGCAGTGATGTCCTTGAGTGGACGATTGATGCGAGGGACATCGATCCCAGCAAAGATGTGCCCATCCATGTTGTTCACGCCTGCAATGTAGTCTATGTCTGCTGCATTGGCGAAGAGGTTCTCCGGGTTGTCTGGGATGAAGTCTCCATCAATGACAGGAGTGAAGGCAAGGTAGTGGACAAGGGGATCTGCATGCAGAGGAAAGCAAGGAATCGTTATGAATCCAACATGGAAGCAGACCGACCACGTGCCCTACAGCTGCAAGGAGGGAGCTTCAGGTAAACAGGTTGGATGAACTCCTGGCTTGACTGAGGGTAGTGGGGATTCCCCAGTGACTGCTGAGGACGGGGCTTTGCCTGGTCTAGGGGCACACAGCCATCTGCTCTAAGCTGCAGCTTCCAGCTGTGTGGGGTGGGCCAATATTTGCGAAAATCATGCAGACTTGTTCCCACATAGACTGCAATGGTGCAGCTCCCCCAGCCCTGTGGGTCTGGCAGTGCCTCCGGGCCACCTGCCGACTCGAGTGGGAATTGCAGGGAAGACAAGCATGGCTTTTACAGAAAATGAAGCACAGAACCAGGTCCCCAATGACACGGGAACTTGGGGTGCAAGCAGGGCACTAGCCCCACGGAGCCAGTGCCTGGGCAGCAGGAGCCCCACGGCATGGCTCCAGCAGCAGCAGCTGGGTGCAGGGACAATGTACTGCTGCTGTAAGAGGGCCAGCAGGCCATGCTGCAGCTGCAGCAGCCAGGGACTGTTTCTGAATCCCCGTTGTAGGTAAGACTCCCGCTCCCACTCCAAAACTCAAGCCTCTGGTCCCCAAGGAGCACTGTGGGCATGCCCAAGTCAGCCCAAAGGGGTGCATTTGCTTGTATGATTTCACACAGAGAAGATGGCAGGAATCTTGGTTTTTCAAACTCAAAACAAGTGTCTTGCCTGCCTGCCTGCTCTCCATGCAACAGTCAATAGGCTGAGTTCGATGGGAACAACGCTCAGACACGTATTCCTCCAGGGCAGCGGTTCTCAATGTTTTTTGTACCAGGACCCATTTGTAAACATCAATGGCTAGTCCCGACCCAGTGCCCCTCACTCCTGACCTACTGCCCCCCACCTGCATCTCCTCGGGGTGGGGGGCAAACAAAACCACGGTTTGCCATGTTTTTCATCTCTAAAGGAGAATCCATTTTTAAAGTTTGCAACCTTTTCATATATTTTTGCAACCCACTTTGGGTCGTGACCCACAGGTTGAGAAACGCTGCTCTAGGGCCCACTGACTCACATGCCAGGCCGATCAACTCCAGATGGTAGGCCAGCGTCACTGCCTTGGGGTCTGCAACACGCAGGCAGTTGGCCAAGGTTGTGGTGTTGTCCGTAGGGCAGCCGACCTTCTCTGCAATCTACAGGACACGAGAGAGGAAGTAGCTGCGGTCAGTGCAGCCAGGCAGCCAACTGCCCAGCTCCCACACACTGGGACAGGAAGCGGGGTTTTGTTTGGTTTGTTTTTTGAATCTCAGAAATGCTCCCACAGCTCCTTTTGAGGGGTATTGTCCCTTTCTAGACACTTCAGGTGCCATCACTGCTTCTACCCACTCAGCCTGCTGTTTTCCACGTACCAGCAGGGTGCCAGCGGCAGGCAGGCTGGCTGCAAAAGCTCTCCTAGCCTGGTGGCGCAGCGCAGGTTCTAGTGCGACCCAACTTTGTGAATTTACTGTACCTAGTCTCCTGGGCATGGGACCCACCCTGCAGCTCCTCCCCCCGACCTCCGAGAGTGACCGTGGGTTACTGCCCTATTTCGGAGCTTACTTTACCTTGGTAGCCCAGAAGAGAGGTTTATCCTGGATAGCCCACGTGCACAGGCCCACGCCGCTCTGGCTGATGGCTCGTTTGAACATCCCCTTGTTGTAGGGTGACAAAGTCTGTGTCGCAGGAGAGACAGAAAAAGGCTGGTTGTTAGCAAGCCCCAGACAGCCTCCCAGGCCAAGGCCAAGTGCTCCGGCTCTACACAAGGCTCCAAACAGTGGCTGCTGCTCGACAAGTCACAGCATAAGAGGACCTGTGTAACTTTGGGAGGAAGGAGCTGCAAGGCCTCAGGCAATGAAAGTTTGGCTCCTGCAGAGAGAGGGGCAGTATAAGAAACCAACATCAACTCAGTCTTACAGACTGAAATACAGATTTCTACAGCAGGGGAAGCCTGAGGAGGAGTGCTTGGGAAAGCAGCACTCTTCAGACCTGCGTGGAGAGTTTAAAGAGGACATATCCAAAGTAACAGAGCTTCTACAAAGAAAAGCACAAGTTCAGGACCCCTTCCACCCTGTGGGGAGGGACATCTATTAACCCACATGTAGCTGTACCTACTGCCACGCAGAGCAGCACCTGCAGCGAGAAAAGCCCTGCGCTAGGGAACCTGCAGCATTCTGCCAGAGAGGAAAAGCTACCCTGCCATGGCCTGGCGATGACCGCGCACCTGCAATGAGACGCTGACAGCTCCAGCAGATTCCCCGAAGATGGTGATGTTATCGGGGTCGCCTCCAAAGGACTTGATGTTTCTCTTCACCCAGGCGATGGCCAGGTGCTGGTCCCTCAGCCCATAGTTACCTGCACAAGAGAAGACAACATTTTTCAGGGAACAGAGAATTTAAAAAAAATTGGTGGGATTCCAGGCTCTGGGTCCATGTTTCACACACCTTCATCTTTACTTGTCTTAAAGCTGAGGTTAGATCATAGGTATCCGCGGATCCTGGGCCTGTGCCCTACACATTTTGGGAAGTGGTGTCAGAACAAGGGGTTTGCATGCTTCAAACATCCAACCCATCTGCCGCCTTTCCTACAAGTTCAGCCTCTGGATCTCTCCTTCCTTGGAAGACAGCCCTTCTGCATGGTGTGTATGTGGATGAGGGGAGTCACTCTGGTGAGTGCGGGAGAGCCTGGGCAGACAGAACTGATGTCTCTAAAGCAGAGCGACAGCTACTGTACCTGGAGCGCTGGCATCACCCGTGCTGAGGAACCCCAGGGGCCCCACTCGGTAGCTGAAGGTCACGACGATGACGTTCCCTCGCACCGCAATCTCTTCACCAGCGTAGAGGTAGTTCTCGAGGAAGTTAGCACCCTGACCACCTCCAAAGAGGAAACCACCTCCATAGATCCAGACCATCACTGGCAGATTTGTGGAGACTGGAGTGGGGAGGAACCACAAAGTGATGTTAGGCTGAGGAAGAGAAGAAAACTTGCTAATGCAACTCAAAGCCAGCCCCTTCCACATCCTCATCACCCTGTACCTCGAGGTATGTTCACTAACAGGATTCACCTCCTTCAAGCTTGAGCAAGTTTAGGAGGAATATAAAAGTACCTGTCTGCAGGGTCACTGAACTAGAGGCACAAGCAGATTATTTATCACGATGACAGACCTAGGACTTGGTGACAGGGTGAGCTGAAGAGCCTGGGAACATAGAACCGAGCAGGGAGAAATTACACAGCACAAACTCCAGTCTCTACTTGCCAAGGGACGCTCAATTTCTCCATGGAAATGAATCCAATGGCATCTCTAATGTCACCACAAACCTTCTGGGGGCCTGACTTCCCCATCTGCCCTGCAAGGAAGAGGGTCATTTTATTGAAACACAAGGCTCCAAGACAGCAGCTGGTGGAGACTGGCTGACGCAAGTGTAACACAAGGAATCCAGTGCAGCCAGCATGCTGGGGGAGCACACGACTGGTGGCCAGAGGCGAGTGTCAAGGAAGGCCTGGCTCCAACACACAATCGCTCCGGGCTGCTCAGGGCTGAACAGAAAGGAAACATCCCATCTCTCATGTTCTCATCAAGCCCATACCTTGTTTTTTCCCCTGAGGGACCCAGATGTTCAGGTACAGACAGTCCAGACTCCCACGTACATTGGTCTGGGTTAGGGTGGCCTGCATGCAACGGGGCTTGTACTCGGTGGCCTGCAGTGTACCTAGGAGAAAGGAGACAACAGCCTGTTGTGCACCCAGGCCTCCAAATTTGCACAAGAAGGAAGAGCCCAGGGTAGAGGGGAGAAAACGGAGGTCCAAAATCCTTGTCTCACCTGGCCAGCCAGGATGGGGCTGGGGGTTTTCCAAAATCTTCGTAGGAGCTCCAAAAGGGATTCCTTTGAAGATGTCAATGAAGTTCCCGAAGAGTCCCAGCTTCTTATTGACACCCTCAACCAAGCCTCCTTCCGTGGACACAACACCCAGCTAAAGATATTCCAAACAGACCAGGGGCAGGGAACAGGAAACACATTTAATGAACACAGGCAGGATCAGCAGGTCTAAGATATGCTTCAACATTCACGTAGCCCTTTAGCACACCGACTGTGAAAGCTACATCCGCAGAAGTCTGCTTGAAAAGACAACTTCCATCAACTGAAACATCAACCCCTGACAACGCTAGTGCTTTACAAAATGAACAACACGCTTATTACTATTAACAAATAATTTGCACTTAGGCTGAGACTTTTCCCCCATCAGGGACTTTGAGGTGATATTAGATGGTGATAAAGGCTAAATGCATGAATAGTGAGGTATACAGGAAGGGGGAGAGAGAGAGAGAGGAAAAAGAAGTCAGTGGAGTTGAAGACACTCATTCCTTCACAGAATTACTCAGTATGAAGTCCCCAGTTGCTACTGACCAATTTTGCAAAAACTTGCTCAGTATGAGGTAGGGCCCAGCCTCT